TGGGGAGCATGCAGTTTGGGGTGCTGGTGCAAGCGCTGTTTTGGGGGGCTGGTGCTGTTTTGGGATGCTGTTTGCGGTGCTGTTGGGTGTTGTTGGGGGTGCTGGTCACGTTGCGGGTGCATTTTTGCGAGATTGCTGGACGTTCTCTGGGGGTGCTGTTTGGGGCGCTCTTCGGCGGGTGCTGTTAAAGGTGCTGGTGTGCAATCATTGGCCTGTTTTTCGCTATCTGGGGTCTATGCTGGTGTATTGTAAATCTGATTTACATACTATATATATATATATATATTAAGTTAAGCTTTTAAAGCGAACCAACAGGAAACAGTCAATTTTGCTGTGGTGCCTTGGGGCGTTCTGCATCAGTGCTTTGGTGTCTTCAGCATGTGTTGGAGAAAAGTAGAGGTAGCTCGGAGCCATGTGCAAGTCAATCAGTGGAGAAACCAGCAAGCATTGACCTCTGAACTCACTAAATCTATATGAGTTGCTTGTTCAAGTTTCTTGTTCGGGCAACTTATCACGAGTGAACGGTGGCCATTGCGCTTGATAACTGCACCTTCAGCTTGCTTCGGAAAGGGCTGACAGGTGGCTCTAAGCTGACGCTCATGGAAACAAACACAATGCCTTCACCTGAAGCCGTTTGAACGCCATGCTTCAACCGACAGAAGCCACACCTTTGTACTCTCTCAGCAGGGAATGAGGGAATCACCCTATAAACCATCCCTGCTGCTTTCGGGAAGGAGAAAATGACCCGAGAAAAACCGGTCCTTTTGTGGCTTCCTTTAAGGGAATCCCTAGGTTCACCCCCAAAACCCGAAAGGTCAGGAATAAGGCAATGAGGGAATAACCCCTACAAACCATCGTTTTGTGGTTTAAATCCCCAAGACCGGTTCGTTTTTTTTCATGGGGGCTGGGGGGGAGTGCGGGGAGGGGGAGGAGCCCAAATAGCCCCTGTTAAGCCCTTAAGGCCTTATTTAGGGCTCCCTCCCCCTCCCCCTCCTCTCCCCCCAGCCCCCATGATTTTCCCAAAAGGGAATAACCCCTAGAAACCATCCTTTCGTGGTTCTAAGAGAATCCCGGGGGACCCAGACCGGCTCATTCCCCAAAACCCGGACTCGACCGATCGCAAGTCTTCGTGGAGCCCCCCAAGCCGTGGCCGGCGCAAGCCGCTCGCCTGTGAGCTTCGCCTCCGCCGAGAGCAGCGGCAGAAACACGGTGTCCAGGGGCTCGGGGCACAAAGGCCCGTGGAAGCCGTGGAGGATCAAGTCCTGGGCTTCCAGCTTCTCAAGCCCACTGGACAAACATATATATATATATATATGTCCAGTAGTGATAGATTCCCTTCAAAAAACAACCCGGGGTAAAGAAACACATATTCTGGAGCAAATGGAAGTGGGTGAGTCTTTTTCGAGGACGCCCCTGTCCAGTTCCAAATCAAGGAAAAAAAGGCACCCTCTTTGGGGTTGGTTCAACGGGAAACCAAAAAGAAAACAAACAATTTTGTTGGGCCCCTATTTTGCACATACCCTGCTGAAGACCGGAGGTATCGCACGGAGTCGCACAGAAAACCTCCATGATACGGTGTTGACTTTTCGAGGGGCAACCGCTTTGGTGTGCTGTTAGAGAAAAAATGAAAGGCTACAGGAAAGGGAGAACCACCCACCAAAAAAAAGAAGACATTCTTGACTATCCATGAAAGGTGAGTGATAGTTCCGTGCGTGCGTGCGTGCGTGCGTGCGTGCGTGCGTGCGTGCGTGCGTGCGTGCGTGCGTGCGTGCGTGCGTGCGTGCGTGCGTGCGTGCGTGCGTGCGTGCGTGGATGTGTGTGTGTGTGTGTGTGTGTGTGTGTGTGTGTGTGTGTGTGTGTGTGTGTGTGTGTGTGTGTGTGTGTGTGTGTGTGTGTGTGTGTGTGTGTGTGTGTGTGTGTGTGTGTGTGGGTGCGTGCGTGCGTGCGTGCGTGCGTGCGTGCGTGCGTGCGTGCGTGCGTGCGTGCGTGCGTGCGTGCGTGCGTGCGTGCGTGCGTGCGTGCGTGCGTGCGTGCGTGCGTGCGTGCGTGCGTGCGTGCGTGCGTGCGTGCGTGCGTGCGTGCGTGCGTGCGTGCGTGCGTGCGTGCGTGCGTGCGTGCGTGCGTGCGTGCGTGCGTGCGTGCGTGCGTGCGTGCGTGCGAGCGTGCGTGCGTGCGTGCGTGCGTG